GTGATGATATTTGATCTGTTTGAAAACCACTGAAAGTATGACTTCACGTAACCGCAACAACTGTCAAGTTTGTAAAAGCTAAAAGTCTGAAAAAATAACGTTTTCACTTGAACACATATTTCACATATCTCACACAGCCTGTTGTAGACTGGAAGGAGAAACGGGCGATTGCCTTAACTTGGTAAATGTACGATAAGATAGTTTAAAAGTAGCCGAAAAGAATGAACTTTTATTTAGTAACGTCGGAAGGTGATACAGATTACTTGATTGGTGAGTGATAACTTTGTTTCACTGGCTGGCGGCACTCTCTTAATCTGGTCATTTTCTTCGGGGGATCTTCTTTGTTTAGCACAGTGTCTGTGTGCGTGCGCGCGCTTGCCGAAAGCAAATGTCATCCCTCAGGCAAAGTGATGAACCAATCAGAAAAGAAGTTGACTTGATAGTTGGCAACCGTTTCAATGTCCTCCACGGCATTGACAGTTGCCGGCTCGGTGGGTGTCATCACTGTCTGGCTTCGATAAATACCGCTACACTTCTTTAGAGGGTCTTCACTCGCCAATTAGTTTATGCTAGAGTTTTGTGCATTGAAGAGAATTGTCGGCCATCCTCAACCACATAACGTATTTAGGTTTGTGAACATAAACACGTTTTTGTCTTTAAAAATTAAATTTTGTTCATTTAGGTGAAATGAAGTTACTTAGCACTTTTGCCACAGTGGCAATTTTGTTGCTGATCGGCAGTGAAGTTGTGCCAAGTCAAGGATGGAGTTGGGCATTTTCCAAAGAAAACAAAACCTCTGTTCAAAGCGATGAAGAAGTGCTGAACGCCGAGGAAGAGAAAGCTGTGGACGAAGCCGACCGAGATTACGCGGAAAACAGCAACATCAAGTCAAGCCAGGAAAAACTGGAAGGAGCACCAATGGGCGTCGACATGGACGACAAGATCAAATTTGAAATTGGCGATGATCTACAATCGAACATTGACACCATCAGCGTGCTGGCGCCGCAAAATCAGACCAACTTTGTGGAGTACGACCGGGCACCAGCCCAGTCACCCTTCGTCGACAATGCCCCCCACCCAACTCAGAGCCAGGGCATGGATCCTCGATTTGTCAATCGGCAGCGTAAATAGTTTAACTTGGTATTTTTGCATTTTAACCCAAATCTGTTTTTTTATTTTTCTCCAAACAGCTCGCCAGTGCGCCGATGACCAGTACCTGTGCACGAAGGCGACGCCGACCCAGGAGCACGTTCGCTGCATTCCCAACAACTGGAAGTGCAATGGAGTGCGCGACTGTGAGAACAACGACGACGAGGAGGGCTGTGGGCTTAATCACCACCGTCCAGCGCCCAACGGCTGCGTCGCCGGCTACCAGTATCAGTGCTACGGCTCGGGCATTGGCGGACTGCCGGCGCTGTGCATTGACGTCGACAAAAAGTGGTAAGTGGTCCAATTGAGTCATACACTTTTTTTCTGTTGTAAATTCTAAATCCACCCCATTTTAAACCTCTTGTTAATTATCATTATTAAATTTTTTAGCAACGGCGTCTACGATTGCACCTACGGCGACGATGAGAACCAGGAGAACTGCCCCACGGGAGCCACTCGCCGGGAGGAGGAACCGAGTAGTGCGCAGAGTGCTCAGCAACCGAGCTCAGCATCGCAGCCGCCAGCTTATCAGCAAACCCGCCCGGCAGTGCACAGTGCCCCGACGTACTATCAGCAGAGTGAACCACACCAGATGACTCATCAGTCGGCGCATCAGTCATCACCACCACCGCCACCACCTCAGCCAGCGGTCAACTGTCCGAATGAGGAGCACTACAATCGACTGGCGTGGACTGATCGGTGCATTCGCACGTGCATCAGTCGATCAAGCAGCAGCAACGGCCACCACCATGGCCGAGCCTAGCTCCAGATCAGAGTCACATGATTAGCAGCATGATGGTTGCAGAATACGATGTGTTTTAAAGTTTGTTCTAAAATTGTTGTTTTTCACTTTTAATTAATCATTTTTGATATACTTCAAAATTTAAATTCACCAAAAATGTCATTAAATTACTTAATTTTTGTGCAATCTGTTTTAAACTTTTTTATTGAGTAAGCACTTTTGAGTAAATTAAAGGTTTTTTGTTTCAAAACTTGGTTAATGACTTTTTCAAGCACTTCAACAATTGTTGTTCATCAATGTTTGTGTTTATTATTGCAGTAGAGCACATTGCTGCAATGTTTGTTCTTAATTGTCATTTCTGAATCAAACGATGCTTTTTTGATTTTTAATTACAGTTGAACATCAGAATAGTTGAATTTACCGCCACCAGGTTGTACACTATTTAAATAAAATTGTGTCGTAATTTTTATTTGCAAATAAACTAAATTTTTAATTTAGTTAATACACAATCAGTACATTTTAAAAAATAAATAAAACAAAAAACACAAAAAATTAACACAAAAAACAATAATATTAAAAGTTAAAATATAATAAATTCAACCTTGCAAAAAATTAAAATTTTGATCGACTATTAACGTCAAAAATATAATAAGCTAAAAAAATCATTAAAATAAAAACCGATGAAGTGGCGATAATTAATATACAAATTATTAACCATTCAATTGGATAATTGCATTTGAAAAACATATCATATGTTTTGCTAGCAATCAAAGTTGTGTAGTTTTCAAACAAAAGCACATCGTTTTTGCAAAATAGAATTGTTGTCGATTTAACCATAAATCCAGTCAACGGTGAACAAGGTAAATCTGCAAAAATGTGTATTTTTGAGCAGCTGTGTGTTACAAATGCTGATTAATATGACATCTCACTAAAGCAAAAATAACTTACCTTTTTGTAGGCAAATGTCGTTTAATTGAATTTAGGGAAACCAATTCCTCGTGTTCTGTAGGCAACATGTTGTACATATTTGAACTTGTTTTTTCAATTTGATAACCAAATGCTTGTTGCCCTTCCGAAATAATCATGTCAACTGGTTTTAACTGTGTTTGATTCACTATTCCAGTCAACTTAATTTGGTTTGAATCAAAACTCATTACACGCAACTCCAAATTCAGGTTTTGCTTTTTAAAAGGAGGCTGTCTAAAAACGATCATTGACGCATTTTTGTCAGCTAGTGAAAACAACTTTGCATTTTCATCAATTTTAAAGGTAATATCAGTCCAAAGTTGATGCATAGAACGGGGGCGGTTATTGGCATTGTCAATTTCCAAATAAAAGTCGTGTTGCAAGGTTAAACTTTGACGCGGGAAAAGGCGTACATCAGAATCACTGGTGACCATGACAAAACTGTCATTCATAAGACCTACTGCATTAAGAGAAATAGAATTTTGCACAAGTTTAGTGCAAATGTCGACCTAATAACAGTTTGGTTTTTAGAGTTAATTTATATCAAAAATTTGAAAACTCACATTTGATGTTAAACATGTTTGTTTCATTAAAACTAGCAAAACTACAACAATTTTTAAATTTAACATTTTTCAGATTAATCAGTTTAATTAATTAAATGAATAAAAGTACTTGTTTGAAAAAGATACAATCAAAAATGCTTAAACTTGATATCCAGCTGCGCCATTTTTAATAACAAAAAATGTTTTGCAATTTTGTTTTGATTATTAAATTGCACGTGAGCAAATATTAAAAACAAAATTTTGTTTATGTTTTATTAATTTGTGCTAACTAGAACTTTTTGTTTTTATTAAAAAGATGTCCAAACAATCTATTTTTGATTTTAAAATGTTTTGCTTTACGATATTAAAGAGTGATCACAACTGCCCATAGAGCTTCTTCCAATTTTTTACCCATTCAAACAACAATAAGTTATACCTTTTTGGAAAGGTTTTTTTAAACTAATACAACATGAAAAAATATTAGAGTGAAGAACCTTACAGTTTTAAAAAAATCAGGTTTAAAGTTGCTATTTCCTATGCATTTTGCTATATTGCTGCTTTAGTCAGCTGTGGATGGTGTTGCCCTCTATTGGATCAATTTTGCTGATTTTTTGTCACGTTGAAAGCAATGCATTTTTGAAAACATAGGACCCGATTTCCTTAAAAACTGTAAGGTTTCTTACTCTGATATTTTTTCATGTTGTATTAGTTTAAAATTACCTTTTCAAAAAAGTATAACTTGTCATGGTTTGAATCAGGAAAAATATTGGAACGAATCTTGTGATCACTCTTTAGCAAAACATATTTTTATAAAACTAAAAAAATGTTTACGTTAACTTTGCGTTTAAAACATTTGTTTTGGTTTAAAAATATAATTTGTCGTCTAGTTTAAACGATGTACTTTTAAAATCATAAATGTACTGATTTACAAAATTCAGAATTATGAATTTAAAATTACACTTAACGGCCAAACTTACACAAAGTTTTGTACCTTTTAAATGTCATTTAATAAAATTTTTAACAACAAATTGTTTTTGTTTCTTAAATATATAATTTAAAAAAATTAAAATTTTATTTTTGGAGTTTTTAGATTCAACAAATAGATAAGTTAAAAAGGATTAGATAAATGTACCAAAATAGCACAACATGTTCAATTGCGCGTGACCAGTTAAATTTAACATTTACAGTTATAAAAGTATTAATTAAAACATCCGGTTCAACAAAAATGCCAATGAAAACGTATAGCCTGCTTGCTGTTGCTAGTTGTTATGATTTTTATTGTTAAGTAATTTTAAAGTAAAGTGCAATTGTCTGTTGAATGTTAAAGGCTAAAATAAAAAGTCAAAGTCTATGCACCACCTCCAATTGACTCCTTCATTTTCAGACTACAATCTATATACCGTTAAAATCTCAGTCAAAAGACTCCTCTCTATTGACCATCAGTTGCTGTACAAAAGTGGTGCCTTGTTTTTTGCTATAAAAGGCATCCACTAAAACCTGTTTGCAGGCATTCTCCACCATTATCACTACTACCGCCAACGTTGAAGTTTCGATCAAAACAAGGCAACTACTACTACTAACTGAAAAACTTGAACATAAAAATGGATGCAGATGAATTTCGAGTGGCCGCCAAGCAGTTGACCGATTACATCGCCGACTACATCGAAGGACTGCGAGATCGGCCGGTGCTGCCTGACGTCCAGCCCGGGTACATTAACGCACTGGTGCCGGCCAGCGCCCCAGAGACGGGCGAACCTTGGGAGAAGCTTTTTAATGACATAGAAGGTGTCGTTATGCGAGGGGTAAGTTTTGTGCCTGTTTGACTTTATTTAAACTGCAAAAAATGTCACTTAACATATATGAATTTGGTAGAACTTGGTAGTTTAGTTTTTGTTCACAGGACACAGGCACTTGCCAGCTACTGCACAGCTACTGCTGCTTATCTAAGTTTTTGCCTGTTCGATAAGCAATATGAATGAATGAATGAATGAATAGCTAATAAAGTGACGCTTTTGTGTGGGTTAGTGAGGCGCTCTTCTGTGCGTCATCACTGCACTTTCACCAGTTTTTGCTACTGTCCTGCTTTGTATATTATAAAAATCGACCATTGTTATCGGTAGTTCACTGAAATAGGACTCACTAACAGCAAAAAGAAATGTGAACACCAAGTCCTTCCACCAATTAGGGACTCTATTGATTCAGAAACTGCTGCTGGAAACCCCAGCAAAAGGCAACAATGCGCCTCAGACCCCTCTTCCAATCAGATCACAGATTGAGCCAATTGACTCCTTCCTGCCTCCATTGTGTGGCACATCTATTGATGAGTCCTTTCAGTGGCGCCAACAGTAAATGAACAGTATCTAAGCACTCTGACATTTAGGGGAAAAAAAGAAAAAGCAAAAAATGAAAAGTATCGTCGTTAAGGAGAGAGGAAAAATGCAATTACATAAAAATCAGTAGAATCAAGTGAAAAAGTAAAGGGCAAAAGGGAAGCATTATGAGTTGCCCGGATACGTAGGAACTGCCATCATTACTGCAACACTGCATTGCCTGTGTTAATGAATCGATGTACTCCTTGTAACCTTTAACGCTCCCCCTTTTTCNATCGTCGTTAAGGAGAGAGGAAAAATGCAATTACATAAAAATCAGTAGAATCAAGTGAAAAAGTAAAGGGCAAAAGGGAAGCATTATGAGTTGCCCGGATACGTAGGAACTGCCATCATTACTGCAACACTGCATTGCCTGTGTTAATGAATCGATGTACTCCTTGTAACCTTTAACGCTCCCCCTTTTTCGCCCTTTTGTTCATTCCCCTCATCTTTATTTCTACTCATTGCCTCACCAGATGACCCACTGGCATTCTCCCCGCTTTCACGCCTACTTCCCCACGGCCAACTCCTATCCGGCCATCTGCGGTGACATGCTCTCTGCGGCCATTGCCTGCATTGGCTTCACCTGGAACGCCGCCCCCTCCTGCACTGAGCTGGAGATGAAGATGATGGACTGGCTGGCGCAGATGCTCGCCCTCCCGGAGCACTTCTGCTTTTCCAGCGGCCAGGGAGGCGGGGTCATTCAGGGGACAGCCAGCGAGTCGACGCTGATTGCGCTGCTCTGCGCTCGGGTGCAACTGCTCAAGGAGCGAGGGCTGCAGCATAAGGTAATTTCAAGTTCAAACGAAAAACGAACATTTTTCACTTTAAAAACTGTTTCAAAAAAAATGAAAGGTCACCGACGCCGACGATGAGGGCAATGAGGCAAAGTACGAGGTGATGAGTCGTCTGGTCGCTTACACCTCTTCACAGGCGCATTCCAGCGTGCAGAAGGCGGCCATGCTGAGCGCCACTCGCATTCGACTGCTGCCTGTGGACGAGGCAAATGGCCTGTCGTTGGATGCAGACGTCCTGGCGAAGACTATTGAGCAGGACCGCCGCAAAGGCCTCATTCCTTTTATCGTCATCGCCACGCTGGGCACTACAAACACATGTGCTTTTGACAACCTGCAGACGATTGGACCAGTGTGTAAGGATAAAGCAGTTTTTAGTTTGTTACAAAATTTTGTTTGTCAATGTGGATTCTATCTTTTAAACAGGCAAACAGGAGAACATTTGGCTGCATGTGGACGCTGCCTACGCAGGTTCGGCATTCATCTGTCCCGAGTACCGACAGTACATGGAGGGCATTGAGGTACAGTCGTTAAAGTCAAGTGTGCAACAGACTGACTGACTGAACTTGACATTTACTGCAATTGATGCTTGCCCTTCTCTACTAACCAATTAATTACACGCAGTACGCAGACAGCTTCACCATGAATCCGCACAAGTGGTTGCTGGTGAATTTTGACGTGAATGCTTTCTGGTCAGTGTTGATAAATAATCACCATTATTTGTTTTTAGGCTGTCATTAAAAGGTTGCTTTCTTTTCTCACTAAACTAATTGATAGGGTTAAAAATAAGGAGCTAATTGAGAAGGCATTTAATGTGCACCCGGAATACTTGAAGCATGAAAATGAAGGCAAGATTCCTGATTATCGGGTAAGAAAGAGGCTAATTTGTTGTAGTTTTGCAATTAAAAAGACTAACTTTTGTGCTACTAATAAAATGCAGCACTGGCAAATTCCACTTGGGCGACGATTTCGTTCACTGAAAATGTGGTTTGTTTTTCGAAGTTACGGCGTCAGTGGACTGCAAAATCACATACGCAAAGTAAATATCTGCCCATTCTTCGTTGTTTAACAAAAAACTAAAATATTGTTATTGATTACAGCAAATTGAGTTGGCGCATCTTTTTGGTGACCTACTTCAGAAGGACGATCGATTTGAGATGGTGGACCAGATTCGCATGGGTTTAGTGTGCTTCCGCCTAAAAGGAAACAATGCAATGAATGAAGAACTTATCAATTCTATCAACAAAAGTGGAGACATTTTCCTCACGCCGACTAAAGTTAAAGAGCGTTTCATCATACGATTTGCCGTTTGTGCGCGTACCACAAATGAGAAGGATATTCACTATTCATGGAACGTCATCAAAAAGTTTGCCGATTCAGTGTTGGCTAAATGGAACTCATAAAGTCACATAACACACAATATTTAGAAAACGTTTAAGTTTTGTTGACAGAATTCACCAGTGAGTGAGTAATGACTAAATGTTTGAGACATGTTTGAAAAAATTAGAAAACTAGTATAATGTTAGTTTTAGCATTTAAAGTTGAAAACATCTTTTAAACATGATGTTTCAGATTGTTTCCCTAGTGCAATGGTACAAATACTCATATCATAAGATTGTAAAATTAATATCAAATAAAAAGTAAAAATCATCACATTTGAAAAGTAATAACTTGAGAATTCCTAGTTGCAACACCGCTTAAGTGTCTTCTTCCAAGTTTCCAAAAGGATTATTGCTTTCAGTTGAAGGCAAATTATGAGTAGAATTTGTTGGCGACTTTTTAAAGCTGTTTGACGTTGGCTGAGAGTGTGATTGTGATTGTGGTTGTTGCTGCTGTTTAAAGTAGTACTCGATTTCAAGCTCTTTTAGGTTTTCCTCCAGCATGGCCACCTCCTCGTATCGATGATTATCTCTCGCTGTACGAATGTAAGTTCGAATGATGCTGATCTGCTGTGCCAGTGGATCGGTACTTTCGTCCAGTATTTGCGCCCGTTCCTCTTCGTTCATTTGCCGCCACAGGTCAGTGGAGGAGGTTTGCGGACAGAAGCCGTCATCCAGGGAGATGACCGCAGTGGAATGAAGGCTGAGTTCTGATTTGCCGGTGAGTGACTTGCTTAAAGCAGAAGAGGCGGCTTTGTAGTTGGAGTACTGTGTTAGAGCAAACAAAATTAAAAAATTTAGAAATTGCTGACAAGTAAAATAAAAACTTACTTTATCGAATAAATCAGTAGATCCAATAACCGATCGCTCGCCCCGTTCCCGATACAGCTGCTGCTCTTTGAGAACCAGCTCCTTTTCATAGGCGATTCGCTGCTTAATCATCTCATCATTGCGCGCTTTCAATTCGGCAAACTGCTTGTCGTCAGGCAGTTCAGGCAGGCCTAGCAGTGCATTGCGAATGAAGGCAATCGTCGAGCGGCGAATGGCCAACTGCAGATTGTACTGTCGAGTTGGCGGCGGAATTGGCGCTGGTTTTGGGTCATCGGCAGTGGGCATCCCCTTGGTGAAACCCAGTGCTTCAATCTTTCGACTGAAAAAACAAAAACCAGTTTAATTAAATGAATCACAAAAAAACAAACACAACAGTGCTCTGTTTACCTCATTAGATCACTCGTTTCACCGAGTCGAGTGAGTTTTTTCTTGAGATCGTTTGCATCCGCCAAACTGTAGGTTGTTTCTCCCAAACTGAAATGAACAGTTAAATTACAGTTAAGTTTGTTTAAGTTTTAGTGCCTCTACTTACTTTAAACTTTCTGACATTTTCAGCATGATAGGAAGAAGTCGCTCAATTTCATTAAGTTTCTCCTTCAGTTCAGCATACAACTGAACGATGGGCGGTTTGGTGTAGGCAATCTCCAGTTTTTCCTTGCGATTCGCCAGCAAGCCCATACAATTTAAACATACGCGAATCCTGTCCGCCGTTTCTGCGGCATCAACTGCTCCGGATGAAACAGCGGAAAGCAACATACGACCAATGTTTGGCGAACTACCTAAGCTGATCGAGTTGATGGAGGATGATCGAGGCTTTGATGGGGTGATGAGTTGTTGCGGTTGCAACTTCTGTCCATCCAAACCGACGGGAGTGATCAGCTGACGGGCGTACTCAAAGTCGATAAACTCGGAGCACTTGGTGCACATGACGGCGCCGCACAGGCGACAGTGGTGCTTCTTCCGCGTCAGAATGTTGAACTTGGAGGCGCAGGTGGGGCAGAGGCTGACGATCGACTCGTCGATCCAGTTGACCACTGACTGCTCGTGCTCGCGCCGCTTCACCGGGTCATTGAGGGGCGGGTAGTCGCGCAGCAGTTTATCTAGTCGAATCAGCAGCTTGTTTGTCTCGTAGACGTAGCGCTCGATGCGCGTTTCCCGGATCTTCCGAAAACCTTCCATGTGAGAGCGGCGAGGTCCTGCAACCGAAAAAGAGGGGGACAAAATTAGTTTGAATGATAACAGAAAAAGATTTTAGCCTTGTTGTTTAAAGACTAACCGATTTTCATTTGGTGCTTCCACTCTTTGAATGGATCAAAAACCGATTCAGGTAAATCTTCATCCGCTTTTTGCTCCAGCATGTTCTGCTCTTGAGTTTCAACTCGGCTCGCCATCGTCATCGGTCCTGCTGGGCGGCCACTTTTACGAATTTTGTTGAAAAAGTCCTTAATTTGTACGCCCATCTGACCGGGAATGTCGGAGGCTGAGTTGGGACTAGTGCCTAGGCCGACGGCTGCCGACGAGGCATTACCAACTGTGGCGAAACACTTTTCCGAGTGGTGCATCAACTCGGTGATGGTCTTGAACTCCACCAGGCAGTTCGGACAGAGCAGACCTTCCTTCTCTAGCTGGCCATCACCGACGGACCACTGGTGGCCGATTCCGCTGGTGGAAGAGGTGAACGACAGCGTCTCCAAGTCAGTGGACGATATTGACTGCCGAGAGGTGGACAGAGAGGGCTCCAGTGTGCCCAGCAGATTGCTGTGGCGTAGTGGCGTCTTCTTATGCGACGAGATGTTTGGTCGCGGTCTGGCGGGCGGTGAATCAGTTTCATCCTCAAAATCGCCAAACGGATTGACGCCTGAATTGTTGCCGGCAGTCGATTGGTGGTGGTGGTGATGTGTGTTTGCAGACACTCGACCACTGCTGGCCACCTTTTCCTCCTCTTCAAAGTCACCAAAAGGATTGGACATGTTGGTGAATGTTGGCGATGGTAACACCAAGTTTTCAAGTTTCCGTAAATGTTCTAGAAATAAACGACAACAACAACAAACTGTTTGTTAGCTTTCAGCAGTAGTTGTAACTGGTAACGTCAGTCAATGCAAACTCACACTCATAAACTCTCAGTTGATTAGTTGTGTGGGGCGTAAACAGGCTACAGCAAAAACAACAAACTTAGACTAAGCAAGACAAAAGCAACTTAAAACTGGTAACTCAAAACAAAAAGAAAAATATAAACAAATTGACTCAAACAGTTTTCTAAGAAGATAAGTAACTGTTAGAATTGTCAAAGAGGGCGTAAAAAAGGAATTGACACAAGTTAGATACAAATACAAACCTTCAATATTCACTTTTGCATAAGTTTTGACAGCTCAAAACATGCTGATAACATCACTTTGACTTTTTCCTGAAGTTCAGTGGAGTAAGAAACGAAACTTGTGCTTGAAAAGAAACACACTTAGGGTTTTTGACGACAAGTTTACAATGTTGTGTTTACTAGATTCTGGCAGTCAGCGCAAGAAAGGAGAGGCTGTTGCGGCATCAGTGACTTGTAAACAAGCCGTTGGCTGTTGAAATGGCAATTGACAGAAGTGAAAAGGCGGCAGTGCCCACATATTTGGGCTCTGCTGTTAGGCTGCTCACAACATTCAGATGGATGACTGACAGCAGAGATGGGAACAAGGAGGGCAGCTCTGCCCAGTGAAAAAATATTTTTTAGCTCTACACTCAACGAGAGTGGCCGGCGCTCATTAATTTGTTTAAACCATTTTTAAGTTGCCAAATTATTTTTAATCATTTAAAAGTACTTTTCAACTGGCTAAAGCAAAAAGTGATTTGCAGTAAATTAGTTTTTTAAACAATTTTATTATTTACCATCATGTTTGTACCAAACACTTTGCACTGAACGAGCAATTTAATAAACAAATTTTTTTATTTACAGTTAAACAATGGGCATCAATTCACTTCCAGATAGTCTTTTAAAACAAATATTTTCCACTTTTTGTCTTGGAGAACTTCTGCGTTTTCATCATGTTTGCAGCAAATGGTCCTTAATTCAACGTGCCATCCTTTTTAAAGTAACCAATTTGACAATTTTAACGGGCAACGATGAAAAACATTTTTTGAATGAACAATTCTATACTTTTGATATTCCATACCTAAAAGATCTTTCTGAATGTCAAGACATGCTGGTCAACTACAAAATTAGTTATAAAAATAGTCAATTTGAGTTTCAATGGCTAAATTGTTTTTGGGCAGCCTTTATTACCAAACAACTGCTTAATGTTAAAAAACTGCGCATATCAATGCAATCAACAAAGCAAAAAATTACATTGGAGAAAAATCATGGAAAAACATTGAATTTTTAACGCAACCATTGGCTATTTTTTTAAAAACATGGTTTTTAAGTTAAGATACACTGGTAATTTTTGCCTATTTTGAAACATCGCATTTTGTATTTACTGACATCATTTTAGATTTATTCAGTTTCATAAATGATTGCACAAAATTAAAACATTTTTTACTTGAAAAGCGAAATGTTTTGTTTTGCAAACAAAATTGTAAACAAATTATTCCACTAATTGACTTGCCCGTTTTAGGTTGGCCTGAGTCACTGCATTTTAATTTTCTAGATTTTCCAGATCAAATTGTCAGAATATTTTTCAAATATGGTTCAAACAATCTTAATTTGCAATCAATTAATTTAGTTGATTTAAACAAAATTTTTTTTAAAATTGGTAAACATGATAAAAAACTTTAAAACAAGTTTCACCAATTTTGTTATCTTTACATTACAACTAAAAATAATGATGATAATGGAAATTTGTGCATTGAAAATTTTTCCGGACTCCATAAATTAAATGTTGAAGTTGATCACATTAAAAATTTAGAAAAAACAATAACAGATTTTCGTCGTCTGAATTCATTATTCCTTTTAAAACTAACATTAAGGAGGGGAAATTGCGCACATAACAACTTTTTTCGAATTTTTGGTTTTCTTTTCTAGTCAACAGTTTTTTTAACAAGATTTTGAATCACGCAGGTACATTTTATGCTAAAACGGGTAATACCACAAAAATGATCAAGGTGTCAAATAAAAGATGACAAAATTATCTAGATTTTGTAGGCTTTACTTTTTTTAAATTTACATTTTTTCTTCATGTTTTCTCGGTTAAACTCCTTTTGACCGGAAACGC